GATAGTTTTTTTGCTGTGTGATCGCCATGAGGCACCAAAGAATATTTTGATGATGTCTTGACTTGTGGAGATGAAGGCACCAAAGCCATTTGATCTCCTGGGTCTGACACTGGTCTAAGGGACTTCTCCAAGGATATGAGCTTAAGCCTCAGGTCCCTGTCCTGGCAAGCACTTGCTTTTAGTTTGGTGCAATGAGGGCATTTTGGGGGAACATGCAATTCCCCAAGGCAGACGACGGACTGGGAATGTCCATCAGAAAAAACTAACTGGAACTATGGCTTAAAAACCCAAACCACTGTAAGTAGCTAAAACTTTTTTTGGCCTTTTGCAGAGGCTGTGGAACTCCATCTCAGGCCAGGGACGGCTGAGAAGGAACTGAGGGACACCGGCTGTGCACATGCTAATTCAACTAACAACAGCACAAGCCAGGCGGCGTGCATACACTGCCAGCAACTCTCCAGTCAAGGTGCTGGGATGGCACCAAGACCAAGAGCGAAGCACCACAGGGACACCTCTCGAAGTAGCAGTTGTGACTGAAGGTGCCGGGGTGAAAGACCTAGAGCCAGAGGAGGAACTGGCATCTCCAGAGCTTGAAACCGGAAGCTGCTTTGTACCCTTGAAGAGGTGATCCACTTGCAGCCTTTGGATGATGCGCTTGATAAATGGGTTGGGACTCAGGAAGCACTCCAGCAACTTGGCAGGAGCAGGAGGGTTACAGAAAGGAGCCTTTTCAGTTGTGTGATGCTGCTGCCTGCACAGGGGCCGCTAATGCAATCTCTCACGTCTCGGTAATCAGCCTCACAGAGCTCACTGAACGGGTCGTGAAGCTGTGTGCTGGTAAAGCAAACGAGGGGTTTGGCCCCTGGTGGCTGACATTCCCTTGCCACTGTGCTGTCACCAAGGAGAGAGAGCGCAAGGAACCAAAGACAAGCTGCACATGGTCCAGACAGAACCTGCCGTCAAGCAAAAGAGCCTCTGCTTCCTAGCTCACCGTAAGCAGTGAAGTGTCTTCCAGGATGAGCGTAGCCTGTGGAAGAGTGGCCATTACTGCCTCCCCCCGCAGCACTTTTTCCAAGTCATACAAATGGAAACCCTGCTCCCTGGCGCGAATGGGAATCCCTGCCCGGCTGCACCAAGTGATTTCCCTGTGACGCCGCAGCAAGAGTCCTTTCCCCTGCCCAGCTGCACCACCCTACTGGTGAACTCACCATTGTGGGGTTCCTGTAACTAGGTATGTGAACGGTGTGAGCATTTCAAAGGGGTCAGGGCAGTGCTCTGTCTAGTGTGAACAATGGGACCTCTGTAACATTGCAATTTTGGCTTGATAGAGCTATCTTCGGAGTGCCGGTCTCAGGTCCTGACACAGGCTGGGCGCTGAGAAGGGCCCAGATGTGCCCAAGAAAGACTAGAGAGGAGTTTTTGCATGATGTCCTGATCACCCTGCTACTGATTAGAAAGAATTGAAGGAGTGGAGGGCCAGCCATAAGAGGGAGTGTAAGGAGAGCATGGAGCAGCTCTAAACATCATGGAGTGGCAAGTGGACACTCTGGAGGCACTACTAGCACTGCACATGGACAGTGCATGACTGCCCCCCCTCCCCACAGCCAATACCCCAAAACTGCTTTCCATACACCCCCTCCCATCACTCCCAATGCTATTTGGGCACTACCTTGTCCCCGGGCACACTCCACACCTGCCCACCAGATCTCCACCCTAATGCACTCACTGCCCATCCACATTCAGCTTAGCTCTGAACTGCAGCCTCTCTTGCACAGCACATCAGATGGTGGGGCTGCATATAAACTGTGGCCATAAACCTGTGAAATTCTCTGGACATGCCTCACCTCCTGTACCCATCTCCCTCCTCACCTCACCACTGTACCCATCTCCCACACATTGCAGATGTTTCATTCTTCACGTGTCCTATGTTTACGGTGTTTAAGAAATGTAATTCATGTATTTCAAAGCAATTTTTATTCCATTATATGCAAGCAAGCAAGCATACCCCAGCAAAGCTACAATTACCATAGCACTAAGTGCAGCACACAGAGCACTCAGTAACCCCCTAGCAAACACAGAGGGTACGTCTAAACTACATGCCTCCTTCGACGGAGGCATGTAGATTAGCCAGATCGGCAGAGGGAAATGAAGCCGCGATTAAAATAATCGCGGCTTCATTTAAATTTAAATGGCTGCCCCGCTCTGCCGATCAGCTGTTTGTCGGCAGATCGGGGCAGTCTGGACGCGACGCGCCGACAAAGAAGCCTTTCTTGATCAGCACAGGTAAACCTGGTTTCACGAGGCATACCTGTGCCGATCAAGAAAGGCTTCTTTGTCGGCGTGTCGCGTTCAGACTGCCCCGATCTGCCGACAAACAGCTGATCGGCAGAGCGGGGCAGCCATTTAAATTTAAATGAAGCTGCGGGTTTCACGAGGCATACCTGTGCCGATCAAGAAAGGCTTCTTTGTCGGCGCCTCGCGTCCAGACTGCCCCGATCTGCCGACAAACAGCTGATCGGCAGAGCGGGGCAGCCATTTAAATTTAAATGAAGCCGCGATTATTTTAATCACGGCTTTATTTCCCTCTGCCGAACTGGCTAATCTACATGCCTCCGTCTAGACACACCCAGACAGTGCACTCCCATGCACAGCAACAAGTTCTACTGACTTTCAGCATCAAATTGCTGCCTCAAGGCATCCCTGATTCTTAAGGCCCCGCACCATACTCCCAATAGCCCTGATCTCGCGCTGTTCAAACTCGGCCTCCAGGCACTGTGCCTCAGCGGTCCAGGCCTGAATGAAGCATTCACCCTTCCCGTCGCAAATATTATAGAGGATCCAGCACATCGCGAAAACCACAAGGATGTTATCATTGGCCATGTTCAGCTTCCTGTACAAATACCACCAGCAGACCTTCAAAAGGCCAAAAACACGCTCCACTGTCATTTGGCACTTGCTCAGCTTGGTATTTAACAGCTTTGCTCCCTTTGTCTGGCTTCATAAGCCACTGCTCTAAGTGGCAGCCCAGGTCTCCAAGGATCACAGTGTGCATTTCCACTTTCCCCACAGTGATCTTCTGATCTGGGAAGAAAGTCCAACTTGCAGCTTCCTAAACAAGCCAGTGTTCCAAAAGATGTGTGCATCATGCACCTTTCTGGACCAGCCTGTGTTACTGTCTGCAAAACGCCCCTGGTAATCCACAAGCTCCTGCAGAACCATGGAGAAATACCCTTTGCAGTTAATGTACTTGGAAGCTAGGTGGTCTGTTGCCAGAATTGGAATGTACGTGCTATCTATCTCACCAACACAGTTTGGGAAGCTCATCCGTGCAAAGCCATCCACAATTTCATGCACGTTGCCCAGAGTCATGATCTTTCAAAGCAGGATGTGATCGACAGCTTTCACTTGGTCACAATCAGTTTGGAGCGGGAAAGTGGACTGTTGGACTTGTGTTGATGGACATGTGCAGGGCTATCTGGAGTAGCCAGCTTCCACAGTGGGGTCGCCAAGGGCTTCTCTTAGGCATGTGTCCTTGCATCGCAGTGTCTCATGAAAGTGGCTTTCCTCATTCCAAAGTTCTGAAGTCCCTGCTCATCAACCCAGACCCGCATGATATGATCCCAACACAGAGTGTTCGTTTCCCAAGCCCAAAAGGAGCATTCTCCTGCAGTCAGCACCTCCATGAATGACACAAAGTCTAGCATCATACGAATGCTTCATGGGCCCATTATGACTTTGCAGCTACAGGAACAACTCGACTGCCACGTGTGACGCAGTAGTGAGACCTCTCGGCATTTTCATCCACTCCCACAGACCGAGGAGGCAGAGCACATAGCGCCGAAGTCACTGACAGACAGCACCAAATGCAGATTGAAGGGCAGGGGTCACCAGGATGCAAAGTGATGCTCTATGTAGCATTGACACAGGGCCCAGGATGCCCTGCATTTCCCACACACCTCAGCATCAGAAGGGGTGCTCTGTGGAATAGTGCCTAGAATGCATGGCTCTGAAAGGCTCTGCAAGTGTGGTCACACTAGTGCACAGGCAGCTGACAACATGGACACCCAATAGCATTTTCACTGCTATGTCCTGGGAACAGCGCCGTAACTGTCAGCACTTTATCTGCCAACACAGACATGGCCAGAGACTCAGGCTATGTCTACATTACAGAACTTATAGACTGTAGTGAAAAGGCAGCTTATATCGACAAGAGGCGTTTTTGCTGGTGTAGGAATACCACCTCCCCAAGTAATATTAGCTATGCTGACAGAAGCATCTATGGCAGGAGCAATACCAGCATACATTTTGAGCCTCAATGGATATATCTACCCAGCAATTAGACACCTGTGGCTAGTCTGTGCCTGCTGGCTCATGGGGCCCAGGTTACAGTGCTGTTTTACTCAAGTTCTAAGAGTCTGTGAAGTGAGCCCAGAAGTCTACAAGCAGTGAAACAGCCCCACTGAGCCAGCTAGCCCCTAACCTGAGCCAGCTAGCATAGGCAAGCGGCGGGTTTTTCTTTGCTTAACAGACATACCCAAAATATAAAAAGAGATGGATTGCCACAAAAAGATGCAGCTCACTTAGCAAAAACATGTGATGTTGCCCTGCAGGAGACACGGGTTAGAGGTTAAGTTGGCAAGTCCTGGGGCTCAAGCTTCCAATAAATTCTAGACTGCCATCTGCAGGGTCTCCATGGAACTCTGGTTAAGCACTTTTGATGCAGTGCTCTCTACTGCACCTCAGGACTGGGAAAGGTCCCTGAACAAGACAACGACTGGATTTTGGGAAATTGCAGCGCCATATGGAGAAAGATAGCCAAGGATGCCTCTAATCAAATGGCTGGGGGTGAGACCACACCACCAAAAGAAGTGACAGTGTCAACAAGTAGGAGACAGACCTGCATCTACTTGCTCTCGATTCCAACTACACCCAAAAATGCATTCTGAACTCAAACAGAGTGCCACACAGGGGTCCAGAGTTCTCCCTGGAACCTTGGCTACCTTATGTCCTCCTCTATCTTTGCCTGAGCTTCAAGATCAAAAGGGTCAGCTGAAAACAGACGTATTCTCTCCTGCTCCCGCCGGGCTCGATCCTGCTGCTGTTCCACCAGCACCTTGGTAAATTTCTCTGCAGTAAGGAAAACAAATGCTATAGTTAGATACACAAACACCCTTTGCTGGAAATTACCCTTACAAATTAAATGCCATTGAACGTATAGCAAAACAGTGTATTTAAAGATGTTGGCTCCCATTCAAAGGTAAAGTGATCAGTGCAATCAGCGGTAGGGTCTATCTCAGGGCTGCCCAAAAGGTCAGTCAACACAGAATTCATTGGCTTGGACACACACTCCCTCAAGATTCCCCTCCTGCCTACTATCTCAGTGGGCTGAACTCATGCCCAACAGCCTATGTAGACAACTGAGTTGTCTCAGGTTCTGTTTCTCTACATTTATTTTTCCATTGTCTGCACATAAGTTTAATGTGCAGAGACACCATGACATTTAAAACTAAGAGTTACTGTTAAAGAATATTTTCATTGCTTTATTGCAGCAAGGTCTTACCCAATGATACCATGCAAGAACATCTCCAAAACCAGCAAGCTATACACAGAACAAGAGTTAGAAATTCAGAAATTATGTTCAAGCTTGTAGTCTAAATTATTCATTCATACATAGAACAACCTTTAGCCAAACTTTTTTTTCCAGTTAGATGAGACTGACATCACAATAACCAGAATACATTTATCACCCACAAATCTCAAAGTGCTGTACAAAAAAGGATGTCACTACCCCTTCTCATTTTAACAAGAGGAAACAGAGGAAAAGGCCAGTCAGTTTACTCAATGTCACAGTAAGTCAGTGGCACAGCCAGGAATGTAATATAGTTTTCCTAAAGTTCTGGTGTGGTACTCTGTCCATTAACCATGTTGCCAACAAAACCAGACCTTCCACCAAAAAGACAGCAGCAGAACTCACTGGGTATAGATTCATTTTGCATCTGAATAAAGTCAAAATTCTATGACACTGCAGGCACTAACCAAGTTTTATTTTAAAACCAGTTAACATAGGCCAAGATTCACAAATCTGAATTCTTACAGTTAAAGATGTCTAAGTCTACACTCAATGGGAGCGAAGAAGTAGTCACTTTTGAAAAAAAATTAGACCACATATTTAGGCGCACAACTTTTAGATACTAAGGATCAAACATTTCAGCCATGGTTTTAATGGTTACACAAAATAAAATATATTCCTATCACCATTTGGAGTCAGGAATCAAAACAGTTCTATGTCCCCTGTGGCTACTGCTTTCACTTTAGGAAATGCAGCTGTTCCAAATACACCTTGAAAACTTATTTCCTTTTCACAGAATAATTTTTATTTCTATGGCTCCATGCTCTGCATAGCTGGTGCTTTCTGATGTACTATAATGCATCTAACACAATGACATGGGATGTGTGCCCAAAGAGCAGATGGCACATCTGGATAAGCCACACCTCTGAATGCACTGCACTGTAACTGATTTTGAATTATGGGAACTTACTGCACTGTAAACAAGGAGCAGAGGAGCTAGTCCTGGCCTCTGTAGTTGGTGCTCTGCACCCAACACACTGAGGGTCTTTGTTCCATCAAGGGCAGTAATATCTAGAAGCAGCGCTCTTGTCGTAGGATGGGGAGGAAGAACGCTACATATGGCTCCACAAGAAGCTTTCTGATACAGGACACACACTGCTAGACTCAAGAGTGGCCCAAAGACAGACGCTTTAAGAAAAGATAAGGACTGTGTGTTTCTGTAATATGGCAAAAAGCATTGTATATTACTGCGCTCCCCCTCTTTGTAACTGTCAGTATTGATGAAACCAATACAGAGAATTAAAAAACAAACAAACAAACAAAACAGCTCTCTCCTCTAGCCTTTTTGTACTGGAAGAAATCACCAGCTTGCAGTCTTTGATGAGGAGAAAAATTGGGGGAGGCTATTCTCTAGAATGCCATTTCCCTCCATCATCTTTCCCAAACTTCCACACTAGTAAACAAGATCCTGATAAGCAGTTTCCCGCAAATGGATCTCTCTAGTAAGTGTTTATAACCATGCATTTTAATGCTTCCACATGCTCTGTTTTCATACTAAATGAGCTTGATACTATTCCAAAAACTAACAAAATAAAGCTCTACTAAGACAAGGCATGGGTAGCAAAGAACTGAGCAGAGCACCATTGAGTCTGCCAAGAGCACCATTACCTTAGACAGCATCCAGAAAGATTTTAACAATTTGTTTCTAAAAAAAGCCAAAAATATTTTAAAGAAGTTTAAGAAACCCTTCAAAACGAATTGCAAAAAACACTTTTTAATGGTCCGCAAGGCAGATTAGACGCCTTCCAGTGAGATACAAAAACTGTCATTTAGGTTTTTTTAGGTCCATATCTGTAGTGACCAAATAGGAGTATCTTTCAGGCTTTTGCAAATGAGGTAGGATGGGATTTAAAACGAGCTATCATAGAAAGCTAAGAGTTGCAGTTGGGAGGAATCTTATTACAGAGGCCAGATACAGAACTGGTCCTAAAAACTGAATTCACTGATGTGTTCCCTCCAAGAAAGAGGACAAGGCACATCAGCAGAGTCCCATGAAGGCAGCATGTAATGTTGTTAACTAGTGCTGTACTGGTTTCATGAACAGGGAATTTATCTCCAATGCTGACAGCACAAAACTCATTGTGAACAACACTACTGACTAAAGCGACAAGGAGTCCTGTGGCACCTTATAGACTAACTGATGTATTGGAGCATAAGCTTTCGTGGGCAAAGACCCATTTCATCAGATGCCTTTAGTGGAAATTTCTAGAGGCAGGTATAAATATGCAGGCTAGAGATAACGAGGTTAATTCAGTCAGGGAGGGTGAGGCCCACTTCTAGCAGCTGATGTGGAGGTGTGAACGCCAAGAGAGGAGAAACTGCTTTTGTACTTGGCTAGCCATTTATAACTGCCTCTGGAAATTTCCACTACATGCATCTGAAAGTGGGTCTTTGCCCATGAAAGCTTATGCTCCAATACATCTATTAGTCTATAAGGTGCCACAGGACTCCTTGTCACTTTTGCAGATCCAGACTAACACGGCTACCCTACTCCTCTGATACTACTAACTAAAACACCCATGAGTATTTTTTACTAAAATTCAGCACAGTTAGAAGTTACATGTAACAGCCTCACACAAAGCAAGAACCAATCGCCTCCAAATCCCAATTTACCAAGGTCTCCACTGAGCAATGCCTCAGCCAGGGGGGGATTACGCTCTTTCAGCAGGGACAGCTCATGGGGATTGGCAAGCAACATGTCCCGTAACAGTGCTGGATTGTCCAAGCCCTGAGGGGCTGAGGATGTATCCGGAGGTGATGGGTGAGGACCTTGTGCTGGTTGCTGCTGCTGCTGCTGCTGCTGCTGCGGCGCTGACGTCCCAGGCACTGTAATGCTGCTGAAGTCTATCCGGGGCAGACCTTATGGAAAAACGAGTTAACAATTTGACCATTTCATTCTCAGGTGCTGTGGACAATGAAATCAAAAGCTGAGGAATGGCTGAACAAGCTACATTACATTTATGTAACAATTCATGTTTGAGCTCCACCGTGTCACCAACATACATAGATTAAACTTAAAAAACAAATAGTCTAGTAGCACCTTAAAGACTAACAAAACATGTAGATGGGATCGTGACCTTTCATGGGCACAGCCCACTTCTGCAGGTTATATAGGTTAGTGGGTTAGGAATACTATTACATATTTATTTACCTGATCTACTAAAATATCTTTCCCAGGAAAATGAGTCACTCATGTAATCTCATCCAACTCCATTTTTCAACGCTGAAGCCTCCAATCTTCTAGCAGAGATAGAGCTGGTACCTGAACAGCCATTTCCCTGCAGCGCATATTTTCTTCTATAAAGGATATGATTACAACTGGAATTCTTAGAACTAAGAATTATAAGGAGGAAGAGTAGGAGAAGCAGGACTCCAATTTAGGGGTGTAAACGACTAGTCGACACTAGCTAATTACTCATTCCCCCCACTTTGCTGCCTCTATCACAAAGGGGCAGCAAGACGGGGGAGAGAGGTGAGGGTGCTGGGTGTGGAGCTGGGTTAAAAGCCGGTCCCCTCCAGCAGCTCCGTGTGAGGGGGGGAGGGGCTCAGCGGTGGTGTTCCAACTTTGAAACATACAAGAATCCTGGCTGGGGCTCTTGTATATTTCAAAGTGAAAGCACCACAAGAAGCCTGGGGCCAGCAGGGACTCTTGTACATTTCAAGGTGGGAACTCCACGTGGAGCCCTGGGCCAATGGGGAGTCCCCCCCGCTAACCCCAGGTTCCATGCAACATTTCAATCTTTGAAATGCACAAGAGTTCCTGCTGGGGCTCTTGTACATTTCAAAGGCAGAACATCGTGCTAGCCCCAACTCCAATTCCTTACTATGGCATTTGAGGATCCTTTTGAACATATATTGCAACATGGGTTTGCTAAGATTCAGCTTCTCTGTGCATTAGTCACAGCCTTGTAATGTATAGAAGCAGCACACACTGCATATTATTGCACTGTTTACTGAACAGAGAACAGAAAGCCTTATCAAAATCCACATGCATTCACAGAAGTTGCTTTTCTGAACAAATTACATTGGTCACTTTTCTCCTACCAAACTACAAAGTAAATCATGCCTACCCAAGGACTAAATCACCATCGCAAGAAATAGATTCTTTACTTAACTAAAGAAAAAGCTCAACCCAAAACAAGAATAGTTTTGCCTTATAACGGTGGCTATTGTAAAGTTGGATGAAATGCATTATACACTATAGACCGGAGTTAGAGATATAATTTGGGTTCCTGGCTAGCCAATAATCTGACCAGTAAGTTTCTAGGTTTGTCCTCCACTCTGACCACAGAAGTTGAGAGCTTAAGAGCTCTATGTTTGGAAGCAGGTCTCAGAAATTGCATGCATTCTTACACTGTGGGTAGTACCAAATCAAAGCAAGTTTCATTATGATAGGCATTACATTGTCCAAGGCGAGGACTCCATAAGCTGACAATCACCTCGGATTGTAGCATAAATGTAGCCTGAATATACAACTGGAATTACCTAGTATACCCCCCTAGTCACACGCCCTCCTGAAGACCCTGAGGACCAGCCTTACTCTGCTGGTGGAGTGAGGGTCTCAGTGAAAGGTAACAGAATATTATAGCCGAGGAAATGTAAAAGAACAGACTTAAGAGAGTACTGGTACTGTAAAGGAAAACTAAAGGAGGGAGTTTGAGGAAGAAAGTCCTGCTGCACACCAACTGCCATGAGGTCTTATAGGTCTTCTTACGTCAACTGTAGCCGAACTCCTCAAGGCCAAAACAGATTCCCGCACCCTAAGATTTCTGAGTGCGCACACACTCAACTGGATAATCCAATTGGGCATCCTTTGAATATGTATGAAATATCACTCTGTGCCCTCGTGAATAGACTCCTAAAGTGGGAAAAATAAGAACTTGTGGCCAAATTACCAAGAAATACCACAAGTCACTCACTACCCCTGCTTTCTTGGTAAAGCAGGATGTTCTGACTGGCAGGTCATTGTATTTTGGGACTTTTGGATACCACATGAGATAATGACTCATTCTATGTCAACATACTGGTCTTTTGTGTTTTGACATCTGGCTGGAAATTTCCATACACTATTATAGAAATGGGCAATAATTTTTGGTGGGGGGCCACTACAAGATTTTGGAAAGTGATCAAGGGCTGCGCTTTCCTGTGGAGGAGGTATGGGGTCGGAGACAGAGGTTGGGTGCAGAAGGGGCATGGGGTAAGAGACTGGGGTGCAAAAGATGGTGTGAGGTCTGAGAGGGAGTTTGGGGGAAGGAGCGGGTTGTGACCTGGGTGGGGGAGATTGGGGTGTAGGGTCCGGGAGGGAGTATGGGTGCAGGAATGGATTCTGGCCTGGGGGAGGGATGTAGGAAAAGGTACAGGGTCTGGGAGGGACTTGTGACCTGGGGCAGGGGAGAGCAGAGGTTTGGGAGGGTAACCTGGGGAAGGGAGTTGGGATGCAGGAGGGGCTGAGATGCCAGATGCAAGCTGGGAGGCACTTACCTAAGTGTTTCCAGGCCAGCATCCCTACAGCACCCCCAAGGCAGGCTAGGATCCCTGCCTGCTGCAGCCCCAGATCTCTTTAAACTGCAGGCTACTCCCTCTACATGGCTCTCAGCTCTGGAGGGAGAAGAGGATTGTGTTGCCCCCATCCCCCAGGCCAATCTCTCAGATCCTACTGGCTGGTTGTTTACAGCCAATAGGAGCTGAGATTTTGGCTGGGGTCAATTCCTATAGGCTGGAAGCAGCCAGGGTGTGGAGCTGGGTTAAAAGCCGGTCCCCTCCAGCAGCTCCGTGTGAGGGGGGGAGGGGCTCAGCGGTGGTGTTCCAACTTTGAAACATACAAGAATCCTGGCTGGGGCTCTTGTATATTTCAAAGTGAAAGCACCACAAGAAGCCTGGGGCCAGCAGGGACTCTTGTACATTTCAAGGTGGGAACTCCACGTGGAGCCCTGGGCCAATGGGGAGTCCCCCCCGCTAACCCCAGGTTCCATGCAACATTTCAATCTTTGAAATGCACAAGAGTTCCTGCTGGGGCTCTTGTACATTTCAAAGGCAGAACATCGTGCTAGCCCCAACTCCAATTCCTTACTATGGCATTTGAGGATCCTTTTGAACATATATTGCAACATGGGTTTGCTAAGATTCAGCTTCTCTGTGCATTAGTCACAGCCTTGTAATGTATAGAAGCAGCACACACTGCATATTATTGCACTGTTTACTGAACAGAGAACAGAAAGCCTTATCAAAATCCACATGCATTCACAGAAGTTGCTTTTCTGAACAAATTACATTGGTCACTTTTCTCCTACCAAACTACAAAGTAAATCATGCCTACCCAAGGACTAAATCACCATCGCAAGAAATAGATTCTTTACTTAACTAAAGAAAAAGCTCAACCCAAAACAAGAATAGTTTTGCCTTATAACGGTGGCTATTGTAAAGTTGGATGAAATGCATTATACACTATAGACCGGAGTTAGAGATATAATTTGGGTTCCTGGCTAGCCAATAATCTGACCAGTAAGTTTCTAGGTTTGTCCTCCACTCTGACCACAGAAGTTGAGAGCTTAAGAGCTCTATGTTTGGAAGCAGGTCTCAGAAATTGCATGCATTCTTACACTGTGGGTAGTACCAAATCAAAGCAAGTTTCATTATGATAGGCATTACATTGTCCAAGGCGAGGACTCCATAAGCTGACAATCACCTCGGATTGTAGCATAAATGTAGCCTGAATATACAACTGGAATTACCTAGTATACCCCCCTAGTCACACGCCCTCCTGAAGACCCTGAGGACCAGCCTTACTCTGCTGGTGGAGTGAGGGTCTCAGTGAAAGGTAACAGAATATTATAGCCGAGGAAATGTAAAAGAACAGACTTAAGAGAGTACTGGTACTGTAAAGGAAAACTAAAGGAGGGAGTTTGAGGAAGAAAGTCCTGCTGCACACCAACTGCCATGAGGTCTTATAGGTCTTCTTACGTCAACTGTAGCCGAACTCCTCAAGGCCAAAACAGATTCCCGCACCCTAAGATTTCTGAGTGCGCACACACTCAACTGGATAATCCAATTGGGCATCCTTTGAATATGTATGAAATATCACTCTGTGCCCTCGTGAATAGACTCCTAAAGTGGGAAAAATAAGAACTTGTGGCCAAATTACCAAGAAATACCACAAGTCACTCACTACCCCTGCTTTCTTGGTAAAGCAGGATGTTCTGACTGGCAGGTCATTGTATTTTGGGACTTTTGGATACCACATGAGATAATGACTCATTCTATGTCAACATACTGGTCTTTTGTGTTTTGACATCTGGCTGGAAATTTCCATACACTATTATAGAAATGGGCAATAATTTTTGGTGGGGGGCCACTACAAGATTTTGGAAAGTGATCAAGGGCTGCGCTTTCCTGTGGAGGAGGTATGGGGTCGGAGACAGAGGTTGGGTGCAGAAGGGGCATGGGGTAAGAGACTGGGGTGCAAAAGATGGTGTGAGGTCTGAGAGGGAGTTTGGGGGAAGGAGCGGGTTGTGACCTGGGTGGGGGAGATTGGGGTGTAGGGTCCGGGAGGGAGTATGGGTGCAGGAATGGATTCTGGCCTGGGGGAGGGATGTAGGAAAAGGTACAGGGTCTGGGAGGGACTTGTGACCTGGGGCAGGGGAGTGCAGAGGTTTGGGAGGGTAACCTGGGGAAGGGAGTTGGGATGCAGGAGGGGCTGAGATGCCAGATGCAAGCTGGGAGGCACTTACCTAAGTGTTTCCAGGCCAGCATCCCTACAGCACCCCCAAGGCAGGCTAGGATCCCTGCCTGCTGCAGCCCCAGATCTCTTTAAACTGCAGGCTACTCCCTCTACATGGCTCTCAGCTCTGGAGGGAGAAGAGGATTGTGTTGCCCCCATCCCCCAGGCCAATCTCTCAGATCCTACTGGCTGGTTGTTTACAGCCAATAGGAGCTGAGATTTTGGCTGGGGTCAATATGGGGAGATCACATGAAGACAGAGAGAGAGCAGAGAGTGACGTGGACTGTGCTTTAAACCACAGCAGCTGTGTGCAAGATGGTCAGTAGGCCCCATCTGGTGGCTTGGAAGGCCGGATCCGGGTCCGTGTCCCTGGATGCATTTTGCCCAGCCCTACACTATTATTGAACTATAAGGTTTAGGAAAGTATATAGATTTACAGGTTACAACACAAACACAAATTGTATCTTGGTACATTTATTAATTTATTTGTTCCAGACCAATTCCACAAGCCAAATACACAGGGAAGGACTGGGACTACAATTCATTCACAAGTCTGATACTCATGCTAATGGATTAAATGAAGATACGGGATGGCTGGGACATTATCAACCTACCAAACAATGAAGGTGCCAATGATTCTTTGTCTATATAGTATCTGGTGTTAGTACTCTTCTTCTCTATTGCCTACTAATAGTTCTTATCTGCCTCTTTAGACTATTCAGTCTTTAGGTGCTTACAGACTATTTGTTTTTCCTGTTACATTTCAGCTCTGCTTTCCCCTTGAAATTTTTATACCCACTACCTCTTTTTGTCTCTCCCTTCCCTCCCCCATTTTTTTCCTTCTCCTCCTCCTCTCCCCCCTTCTCCCCTATTTATTTTAGTTCTGGACATCCAACACTCTGGTCATCTGAAGTGGGCTGTGCCCACAAAAGCTCATGATACCACCTATATGTTTTGTTAGTCTTTAAAGTGCTACAATACTATTTGTTGTTTTTTAAGTATATTTATTAATGCAAGGGATGTTGCCGTGTAGTCGAGTACAAGATTAACTACAAGCCTTGGGGAGCAAAAGCTTACTGGTTAATGCTATAGACTACACACATTGCCCCCCCCGCCAGTACATTTTTTAGCAGGCTGGCCAGCAGCTTGGCTCAGTCCTGGCTTGTGCCAGGTCCAGGACATACCTCTGCTGCAGCTTTGCATTTAAAGTGTACTAGGAGCCAGGCGATCAGGCAGCCTGGCTCATACTGGGTCTGGGAACTCAACCCCCCTCCCTCCCAGACAGGGGCTGCTGCCACCCCGTGCTGTCTGTCTTTGTATCAGAGGCAGCAGAATGGGGCAACAGGCAGCCAGTCCGTGAGGGGAGTCTGCCCCAATGTTGTGTGTGATTACATGACTATTCAATCAATTGTTATCTAAAATCCCTAATTAATGCTCCAATTTTCTGCCAAGTATATTTTAATCGACACGTTATAATTCCCTGAAAAAGCAGGAGTTTTAAATTTAACGCATAGCAGGCCCTTGATAGGACAACATTAGCAGGTACAACAGTTAACTTACACGCACATCTACAGAGCATTAAGAAATTAACTAGACACCATGTAAATGGACATCTGGATACAGCAACAGGGGTTGTCCCCGTGAGTTAGCCTGAAGAGTTTCTCACCTGGAAACTGTACTGGCTCCGCATTCTCTTTTTGCCGTAAGATGACCACATCTCCATCTTTCAAGCCATATGAGGCTAATGATCTGTGGTTGTCAGTTAAAGGCCTCTCTGCATAGACAATCTGTGTATGTATGTATTATGAGAGAGAGAAGAGAGTGAGTGTTATTGGAAACAAGCTTATGCAAGCAGGAAGTGGACTGACAGCAAGACCTCAAATAATTATTTTACTTAGAGAAACATTACATTTGAGTCACTATAAATTTCAAGATGAACCCAAAAGAATTACTAGTAACTGTGCAGTTCTTATCAGACTGCTGCAACTCAAGGGCCTTGTGAACCAAGCAGATAGATCGCAAGCTGTAAGTATTCACTTCTCTACAGAAAATTAATCTTATGGGAAACCAACATGGTTTCACAGTACACGGCATTTCTGAAAAGGATTGGTTAAGGAATAAAAAGAATGGATGATTTTTCAGCAATTTTGGTTGGAGTGATGAATGGGAGTACGGGTGGGATAATACCAGTTTCTGAACATTCTAGCCATTCCGCTAGCTAAAGTCTTTACTCAGTAGTGTTAACTCCTTAAATCTAACCTTCATTGCCTTGCTAGTAAGAGTTAAAACCATAGACAGTAAGTCCTGGAGAGTCCCCAGGAATCCTCAGGGAAACAGGAAATAAGTTGGCAGGAGGCCAGGGGAGCCAATGAAAACAGAGTAGTAGCTTCTGAACTGGAAGCAGTAGCGCTTCCTGTTCCTGCGTGCCAAGAGTACCCATCTTTCTAAGAGCTCTACAGCAATAGTTCCCTACCGTTTTTTATCCCGGGGACTGGCACACCCATTCATAAACATTTAGCGGACCAGCAACATTTTATTTGCATATTCAAATGAGAAAATAATGAATACAGGCAGTCCCCGACTTACGCGGATCCGACTTATGTCGGATACGCACTTACGAAAGGGGCTTTTCTCGCCCCGGAGCTCACAGGCGGCGGGTCGCCACCCGTGTCCTCCGGGGTGAGAAAAGCTTCTTCCGGTCTCCCTGGTCTGCTGGGGGGTCCAGCAAAGCCGCTGGACCCCCCCAGCAGACCAGGGACACTAGAGCAAAGCCGCTGCCTGGGCGGCTTTGCTCGTTTGCCCGGGAGCAAAGCCGCCCAAGCGGCGACTTTGCTCCTGTCCCCCTGGTCTGCTGGGGGGGTCCAGCGGCTTTGCTGGCCCCCCCCGCAGACCAG